AGTACATGAAAAATTAGAGGATTAAACAAGTAATTTTGGAATGTTTAATTTTTGGAAAATTGGCCGAAATAGGTTAAGGTTGTGCGGCTGATTTAGGATTGGAATTGGGTAAGAATTTTAATCCCGATATTATTTTGGAAACAAGTTTTCTTCCTCTCCAAGAAGTAGGATTTTGATGGAAGTCTATAAAAAGAGGATTAGGGATTTACTTTTACAATAGGACTGAACCGAACTTAACTGAAAAAAAAAACCTACGTCCTCCGCCGACCTCCTTCTTGTCGCTGCAATTCCTCCGCCAGCTGCACCACCTTCTTCTCCACCATTCCCATGCTGCACTAGCTTCTTCTCCACCTCCCCACCTCCATCTCCTTCACCGGCAGCATAACCACCACCTTGACCTCCATCACCGCCGCTGCAAAACTCCTCCTCGCCGAGACCACCACCTCCTTGCTTCCTCCTTGATTCCGCCACGCAGCACCACCATTAATCACCATCATCACCTTTCGTCATCATCACCAGCAGCCAAGTCCTCCGCCACGCAGCACCACCGAAGCCGAAGAGAAAGCAAGCAGTAGCCGTGGACTTCAAATCTCCAATTCGGCAGCCCTATTCTATTCTCGGGTTTTGGAGTTTTATTTATTTAATTTCAAATTTTTGGATTATGTCTCTAAATATTATTGAATTATTTTTGATAATGTTTAGCGGCTAAATTCTTTTAATCTAGGGCTTGGGTGTAGCTACCGAATTTATTTGGTTTATTTGGTTCATTATTATTTGATTTTTTCATTAATCAATATTTAATATTCTTGCTTTTATTCCATGTTTGTAACTGGCCACTACTTGCATGTTTAAAGATATTAATTGATGGAACGACAGTTGAAAATTAATATTAGTTCATGGGAATATTGGATTTAGGTAGTGAACAACGACAGTAAGAACACAACCTTTGCAACATTAGATTCTTAAGTTCTTAATGTGCTCTAGTTATTTCCTATAATCACGACAGTAGTCATAGGATTAATTAGAGTAAGAGAATTATATCACGACAGTGAATAATTCTTAATTAGGTGAATCGTTGTGAGATTAATGGAAGTTAAAAGTCAGATTTATGAATTTAAACGAACCAAATATTCGGTAGGTGAACCCAATGTCCTAGGTTTTTTTTGTCTGATTATTCGAATTAATATTATTTGTTTTTATTTTATTTATTTATTTTAGTTTTATTTTAATTGAAAATCTGAGATCATCATTTATCTAGATAATAATATGAGTAATTTATACCTGGTAATTAGTATTCCTTCTCTGTGGGTACGACCCTATTTACCGCTATACTAGTAATTGTATTAAGTAGGTAATTATTATTTGACTAGTGTGACGACGGCTTGTCAGCCGGCTCCTGATTTAACCGGTTCGACCCGCCGGTACGAGCCGAGCATGACAACACTGGTTTTTACTTCTTCTTTTAACAAATTTATACTGGAGAAAAAAAATTCAAATAGGGTAAAAAGGAGTATTACAAAATGAGAATAATATGCATAATGAAAGAAAAATATTGGGACTGATGCGGAATATTATGATCTCTTATTTTGTTGCTTTGATCTCAGTTAAAATTTCATTTTTTTCATTCAAAATTATATTGTACCTCTAATTAATAGGTACACATAAGAGATTTTTATCCCTCCGTCTTACAAAAATAGTCCACATCGAATTTTAATTTTTATACTGTTTCTAGTACAAATTTGAAAATTCAATGTGAACTATTTTTTTGGGATGGAGGTAAGACATTCTTTTGTTGCCTCTATCATTGTTCTAAAAAAATTATGTTATATAGTTAAAAAATATCCCAAGCTTTTGCCAAAAAAATGATGTTATAGTATTGTTAGGGTAGAAGTAACCCAGTACAATATTCTAATGGGCCATATTGACCTCCAACAACTGTAAGAATTTTATAGTACAAATGTCCTGGGCCTCTGGAGCCTGGAGTGGGGAGAAAGTAATCTTGTGTTATGGGCACACTGCACACACTAGCTTCCAACGCACTCTCCAACACCCATGCTCCGCTCACGTGACCATTTTGAATTGGCCTCTTGAAGATGACGGGGACAGACAGGCAGTCGGCACAGCACGGTAGGACCGAGGGAAAAAAAAGACCCCACACCTTACTTTCACCACGAATTTTTGGTGCCACGTATGCGCCTCGGAATCTTCTGAACTCTCCTTCCTTCTCTAGATCCCTTGGATTTTTTGTTTTGCACATTAACACCAGCATGTTTCGTTATACTTTATTCCATGGGCTTTAATTTAGATGAATGTTCACTATTCTCTTGTCAATTAAGTTTTACTAATAGAGACCAAAATAGATTCGAGATCAAACAAACAATACATACTCGAGGTCCTACATATTTAGCAAGTATATATGAATGGACCTTCAATGGTTAAAAGAAAAAATAGTTTGTGCTCTTTTTTTTTTTTTTTAAACGACAGTACACATTCAGTTTTGAAATTTTTACTGTTTTTTGTATAAATCTCAAAATCATTTTTTTTTTGAGGATAAATTAAGCAGTAACTTTAATTGAACATATAATGTACATGACATATCAAATATAAACGTATCATATCAGAGATCTAGACAAAATAAACATTTTAAAATTTTTACTATAGTTTATTTTTATTTTTTTAGTTTCCGTTATTCTTTTCCTATATCCTCATAAGCAACGTGATTTCACCACAATTGTGATACTAAACAAGTGTAGATGATGAACAAATATTTTAATTTATTTACTTATAAATATTAAACACTTTAATATTGACAAAGTGGTGCAATTTAGTGGTAAACGCCTCTCCTGTTTTCAATAAGTCACGGGCTGGAAACACGCGCGGGAGTAAGTGAAAAAATCACTATTTATCCCTTAAAAGAAGTTTAGTATACTATGAGCACCTAAATCTCGAGAAATTTAAAAACTTTAAGTTGATGAATATCTGTTCTTTTTCACTAAAAAAAATAAAAATCATGCAACTTTTGGTAGGGAATTACAAACTATCATGATAATAATAATAAGGAAAAAAAAAAATTAGTATCCTATGAGCACCTAAATTTGGAGAAATTTGAAAATTCAAAGTTGATGAATATCTTTTTCTTTTTCACCAAAAAAAACCATGCAACTTTTGGTATAAAAATTATTGACCATTATGATAATAATAATAGGGATAAGGATAAGGAATTTATGTAATACTATATTCGATTATAATCATAGTACACAAATTTGAAGAAACTTTATTGTTAATTTGTGCATGATAATTAGAAAAAAAAAGGATAATTGCTTTTCATATTCACTAGAATGGTCTATATTGAATAACTATAAAGCTCTTGGTTCATTTTGTAGTTTTGAGTAATAACAAGGATTCCAGAAAAATTTATCAGTGAATCAAGGAGGAGAATCTCTCCAACCCCAAAGCAAACTTTGTACAGTAAAATTAGGATCGTTTTTTTGAAAATTTTTACCGGTTTAAAAATATTATAAAAGAAAAGTGAAAAGAGAAGAAAAGAAAAGAAAAGAAAGGAGGGAGAGAGAATAGATTCTGGGCTTCCGCTTTTCCCTTTGCTTCAAAACCAAAAGATCTCCAGAAAACACCCACACACACACACCCGCGCACTAGCGAAATCAAAGCTCCTTTTTCCTTATTTATGGTTTTTTTTCGCGAAATATCTAGGGTTTCCACCGCTGGATTTTGATTCGCCGGTTCCGTGATCGCGAGGAGGCTTAGGCCGCCGGCGATTTTATTAAGGTTTGATTATCGTTATAATGTATTATTTTTCCGTATTTTGTTGATTTTGGGAAGTATTTTCCTTTAATTTTTTTCCGAGTTTGTTGGTATCAGTATCCTATGTGATCGAACATATACATGTATAGTTGAGCTTTCTTTTCTTTTTTTTTTTTTTCCTGTGTTTATTTTGATATTTTGGTTATATGTTTTGTTATTAAGTTTGAGAAGCTCGCAGTTTTTTTTTAATGTCGATGACAATGCCTCTTGGTTCATAAATTGAGCTTGTTGCTTTCTCCTTTTCTTGTCTTCCTCCGGATTTTGTAATTAATTACCTTAATAATGATTTTTTAGTGGTTTTTACTAATTAGGGTGGTGTGTTAGGTGTTATTGTGAGCCATTTGCTTTTAAATATGATATTATTGTTGAAGATTCTTACAGAAATTTGCAAAATGAGTGGTCTGATTAGATTCGATTTAGGAGTGTGTATTTACGCCCTTGATATGTGCACGGAATGTTTACTAGTTCTTAGTATCTTACATATGACGTATTTTAAGAGGAGCCCAACTTATTATTGGTATCAAACTTGGTAACTTTCTTAGGGTTATCATGTTCTAGAATTGGTAAGTATATCGCATTTGTTCCGTCGAGTACTTCTGTTTTAGGTAATTCCACTCACCCATCTACACACTGTCAACCACTATAACAACTATGACAACACAAAAAGGGGAAATAAAAAAAAAAGAAAGGGAATTTCCAACCTTATGTAAGAATCTCAGTTACTTGATTATTGTAGTTAATTGAAGTGATAGTTTGTGTACATGATAAAAATCAATGCATAGGATAGAACCTGCAAATATGGAAATTTCTTATATAGAAACAAAATAGCTGTTATTAGTCTCCTTCTCATATGTAGTAATGACATGGTCTAAATCATATGCAGGGCATTTCTGTTTTTACCAATTTCACGATTTGTGACTGTGTTGATGATGGCGATTGGATTTGAATTGGTGATGCAGTACACGTATTTGAGTAGTTTGGGCCAAAGCTAACTGTATGAAGTATTACGGACGTCTTCTCTTGTACTATGCTAGATTCTTACGGTTGATTGTCGAGGTTGTGTTTTAGATTTTGTATGTGGTCTATTTCATAGGAGTTTGGATATTTAATAGAGGGTTCTTAGTGTTTCCTTTTCACTATGAGTTTGCATGCCGATTTGTGCGTATAGTATTTGAAGGATGGAGGATTTCAGGGAGTCTGAGTTCCAGCCTTTCAGCTGGATTAGCAAGAACCCTTCAGAAATGGGAGAATCTTGGCTCTTCATTATCTCTTGCCTTATTGCTGGGCTGGTTGGAATTTTGACTATATTGTACACTGCTTTCCAGTGGAGAAGAAACATAAATTTGACCTGGACGAAAGCCATTGCCAGGTCAAAGAAGAGCCCAAAGACTAAAAACAAGGTCCCAGTGGCTCCTCATACTTGGGTTTTGGAATCGGGCTCTCGTGGAAAAAGTTTGAACTGCTGTGTATGCTTAAAGTCCATGTCGCCTTCACAAGCTCTTGCCTCCATGGGAAGTTCAGACAGTTTTATTCATCATTGCAGCATATGTGGTTCGGCAGCTCACCTTAGCTGCTCTCCACATGCGCATAAGGATTGTAAGTGTGTATCTATGGTTGGATTCGAGCATGTGCTGCATCAGTGGGCCTTGCGCTGGGCAGATGTTACTGATCAACCTGACGACTCTTCTTTCTGTAGCTACTGTGAAGAACCATGCAGCAGCTCTTTTCTTGGCGGATCCCCTATATGGTGTTGTTTATGGTGTCAGCGCTTGGTGCATGTTGATTGCCACTCTAATATGTCTAATGAAAATGGAGATATCTGTGATTTGGGTCCTTTTAGAAGACTTATTCTATCACCTCTTTATGTTAAAGAATTGAACAAGGGTGGTTTTTTAAGCTCTATTACTCATGGTGCTAATGAGATTGCTTCTTCTGTCCGTGCCAGCATAAGGAACCAGGGTAAGAAGCACAAACATGGGAAGGAAGTCCCTTTGGAGATTGCTAATGGCAGTGTTTTTAGTGACACGTCCACAGAAAGTATAGCTGATGTGAGCCCCCGAGTGAATGGTAGACCTGATATGAGCCCAAGAGTCAATGGTATAGCTGATGTGAACACACGAGCTAACGGCAGCCCACGAGTTAATGGGTACCATTTAGCAGAGGAAAACTGCAATGGTGGTATTGGTCTTGATGGTTTAGAACCGCTACATAATGGGGAGGTGAAAAAATTGGAGTCCAAGCCAAGTTTTAAAAGAAGCTTGTCAAATAACCAAAAGGATGACTTCCAGGTCGCCAGGCAGAATCAAAGGTACGAGTTGATCGACTTGCCTCCGGATGCGAGACCGTTGCTTGTATTCATAAATAAGAAGAGTGGAGCCCAGAGAGGTGATACGTTGCGTTTGCGATTGAATCTTCTTCTTAACCCTGCTCAGGTAAGCGCATTAAGGTTTTAGTTAACTTTTCTCCCCTCACTCTCTCTCTCTGGTGTTTTCATGACTATGGTCTATGACTCACTTTGCTTTCTCACAGGTCGTTGAGTTGAGCTCAGCGCAGGGACCAGAAGTTGGTCTTTATTTGTTTAGAAAGGTACCCCACTTTAGAGTTCTTGTCTGTGGAGGAGATGGTACAGTTGGCTGGGTTTTGAATGCCATCGACAAGCACAATTTTGTTTCACCTCCTCCAGTGGCTGTCCTGCCTGCTGGGACAGGGAATGATTTGGCTCGTGTTCTTTCTTGGGGTGGGGGTCTAGGAGCTGTTGAAAGACAAGGTGGCCTTTGTCCGCTGCTAAATCATATTGAAAATGCTGCAGTTACTATTCTTGATCGATGGAAGGTCTCAATTCTAAACCAACAAGGAAAGCAGCTGGATGCTCCAAAGTTCATGAACAATTATCTTGGTTTGTTCTGAGTTCACTTCCTTGATTACTTTGTTTTGATTTCTCTTCCAAAGCATTTAGCAAAATTTAGGATGGTTGAAACTAACATATTTTTCGAGTTACATTTAGGATGGTTGTAATAACCTGCTTGCAAAGTCCCCTCTCGACGTAGTATAGATGGTATGCATATTGCACATAAGATTGGGTGTAATGGTTGTGATGCTGCAATCAAAGACAAGAAGCAATAACTTTTCTTGGAGTCAATTGTAACAGGAGCTAATGTATATTAGTGGGCTAAAGTTGTGTTTGAGCTTAGCACAAGTGTTGTTGCCTGACCTCATCCTAATCTTGTGTTCCTCTTTGCCTGGAGCTTTGATCTAATATGTGATATTGTAAGCCGAAGTTAGTTTTTGACATACGCCATTTTCTTGACCCTCCCTGTACCACCAAGCACGATTCACGAACACACACAGACCCGACCAATCACATAGTCGTCCACATGTGCATGACTTCTGAAATGTATTGGACTTGATAGTTACTTAGCAACACCCAAGTTTAAGTCAGTACCATCAACAGGGCAAGGGGTGTCTATGGGATTATCATCTATATGTTAAACCATAAGTTGGTGGTAACTACTTCGTCTTGTCAAGAACAATATTTTCTGATATTCTTTGCATGGATGCGGCTGTGTCTTGAATGTGTTAACTTATTTTTAACATCTTTACATGATTTAACTGGTTGATGACTTGGAAGTATGAGAAATTCGATAGTTATTGCAGTATAAGAAGGATAGTGATGTCTTTTCAAAGACAAATTTAGCTAGATGGCTTAAATTTTAACTCACAGATTTCTTGTAATTGCTCATCTGAATATTTTGGTTTCATGGAAATGGTGTTTATTGAAATTACCTTTGATTGGCCATTCCCAGGGGTTGGTTGTGATGCAAAGGTTGCTTTAGACATTCATAACCTTAGAGAAGAGAATCCAGAGAAATTTTACAACCAGGTAACTTGGATGTTGATTATGACTTGACATACATTGCTTTTTTTTTCAGAATGGCCACTTGTAGTTGTGCTTTATGTGCTATAATGGGTGAGGAAAGGCATTATATGAGAAGATAGAATAGGGAAATGAAGTAGTTATGCATATTGTGAATCAAGGTTCACCCTAAAATTGTGTGATCTTTACCTTCTTTTTGATAGCATTGAAAGGGAAGGGGGGAAATTGGTGGAAACTGATTGCTTTCTTTGTCATCGGCTTCAATGTTATTCCCATATACTTGGCGCCTGTTATGGTCATTTATTTATTTTGGCACCGAAGATGGGAGGTGGGAAATATGCCAGCGTGAAAATGACGCAAAATTCTTTCATGGTTTTTCATGCTTGTTTCAATTTGTAGTTTTGTATTTCGCTGCAGCTGAAACGTGTCATCTATTGAATTTCAGTTCATGAATAAGGTTCTTTACGCGAGGGAAGGGGCGAGAAGTATTATGGATAGGACCTTTGCGGATTTTCCTTGGCAAGTTCGTGTGGAAGTTGATGGTGTAGAGATTGAGGTCCCTGAGGTGTGTAAAAATTAAAACTTCCCCTCATTTCTGTTATAGTCATTGAAGAATGATAAATATGTTTTGCTTTTGGATCATTGGTAGGATGCTGAAGGTGTTCTTGTGGCAAATATTGGAAGCTACATGGGTGGAGTAGATTTGTGGCATAATGAGGATGAAACACATGATAACTTTGGTCCTCAATCTATGCATGATAAGATGCTTGAGGTAGTCAGCATTTCAGGCACATGGCACCTTGGCAAGCTTCAGGTGGGTTTGTCTAGGGCACGGAGACTTGCGCAGGGACGGTCAATAAAGATCCAGTTATTCGCTGGACTTCCTGTTCAAGTTGATGGAGAACCATGGTTTCAGCCAACGTGTACACTGGCAATATCCCACCATGGACAGGTTTTTCCCACTTCTCTTTCTTCTATCCCCCATTTCGAATTTGTTTAATTGTAGGCTGGAATGGCGGCCGGGCACGTTTGCCCTGTCTTGATTGCTAATAGTTTCATTGGTGCATCAGGCTTTTATGCTGAGAAGAACAGCTGAGGAGCCTCTTGGTCATGCTGCAGCCATTGTTACCGACGTTCTTGAGAGTGCAGAATCCAATCACGTGATTAATGCTTCGCAGAAGCGCGCTCTTCTTCAGGAAATGGCCTTGAGGCTATCCTAAGATACAAAATGATGCATGTGTATACAAAATTTTGTATGGGTAGTAGTAAGTTTACCACATAGATATTAGGTTTTCTTGGCTGTAGTTTCTCGCTGTTATCTATTATAGGTATGTGCCCTGTCCTCTTGTGCATTTCAGAGAAAGTAACCTGCACTAACTCATCTTATATGCATTAGGATTTTGCCAAAGATGTCAAACACATCTAGCTTGTGCTTGTATGTAAATGAGATCACCGTTGTGCTTCACGAAGGTTTCTTTTTGTAAATGCTCTGATTTTAATCAGAAATCACTAGTTTTAACATTCCCGAAATCCTCAATTCTGATATTATATCTATTATGTGCCATACTTTATGGGTCCCAAATATGAATTCCTAACTTGAAGAATTTACATGAGTAGAAGTAGGATCAAATAAATCCCCTTTTACTGCCTTCTACCTACTAACATAAACTGCACTACACTTTAGTTTTGTGTTCATTTTACTGCTTTTGTGATTGGGAGTTGGGACCACAGCCCTTCTTTCTTATATGAAACTGGAGATGGGATTCTATAACAACTACATCATCCTTTCCAAAATAAGAGTCTTGATTAAGTACAATAATGATTATGGCTCTTAATCTAAGACGGAGAATTATCTCAGGTGAGTTTAATGTTACCTCCTCTGTTCATTTGTGATTCTTATACGATTGAAATTATAGAATTTTTTTTGCAATATTGATTGACTTTAGTGCATGTCCCGTGGTTAGATATGCCAAAATATTTATACAAATGTCTGTTGTTGACAGTCACAAAGAGCTGATAAGCCGGAGTAAAACCTCGCACCAACCGGCTGACAACGAAGTATATTGCACAAGAACTTATTATACAATTTCTCAAAGGACAAATGAAATCAAAATGCTGCAAAAATTCGTTCACCAGACAAGGAATGACTTCTCTGTTGGAGGGTACCATTTTAAATAAGCCATTAAAAAATTGCAACCACCCCCATCTTTGAAATTATCAACTGCCAAAAAACAGAGGACACTTGTGATGAAGAATCAGTCCAAACAAGATGCTACAAACATTTATGATAGCTTCACCTTGATCCTGACCTTTGTCTTTCTAGCCATGACATTCATCATCTTCCTATGTCAAACATAACCTCGACTTCACCGGCGAAAACTTCCGATCTTCTGACCACTAGAAAGCCATGTCACAGAATCATCTCATAGCTGTTGCTGTTTTGGCCACAGCTTCAACATGTCTGATTTTGGCCGGAATTGTATTCTACTTCTTTTACAGGTACTCCGTGGCTCGTCGGGAAAGCGAACGGAGAAAATACCGTTCAAGTTTCAGGCGGGAACCCGTTGGAATTGGAGGATCGCATGAAGGGTTGTTCATGCAACAACATGGTGGTGGTGGTGCAAGTGGAGCTGGAACTCTTAGAGGGCTACTTGTTGAGGAGAATGGAAGGGAAGTACTTTATTTGAGGAAAGCTGATAATAATGGAAGGTTTACAAGTTGTTTTTCAAAGGTTTGGTTTAATCCTATAATTGAAGCAGAAGAAGAAGAAAAGGAGATCGATCATAGAGCCCTTAACCCAAGTATTCCTAATAGTCCTACACAAGAAATTCCTTTGATCTCTAAAGCAGATCATCATGAAGTTGATGATTCTTACATTTTAGAGATAGATAAACCAAGGAATTTAATGCAAACTTCAAGACCTTCAATTCTTGTTCCTCCTCCTCCACCTCCGGCGGCGCCACCGCCTCCTCCTCCTCCTCCTCCTCCACCTCCACCTCCAATACGAAACAACTTGAAACCACCAGCACCTCCTCAACCTCCTCCCCTGCCTCTGGTGAAAAGGGCTTCAAAACCACCTGTCCAGCAAAGTCCATCTAGAACAAAACCTGCAGAATCATCAGTATTACCTCTTCCACAAAATAAGTTTTCAGCTGGTGGAGGTTTTTATTCATCATTGAAACCACCAGCTCCCCCAAATAGAGGTAAACAAACAAATTACAACATAGTAAAAACCTCGGATTTCGGAAATGCAAATGATAGAAGAGACAGTACTCAGATGAAGTTGAAGCCATTGCATTGGGATAAAGTACTTACAAATGCTGAGCATTCCATGGTTTGGCATGAGATTGTTGATGGCTCTTTTAGGTGAGTTAACTCTCTTTTGGTGTACACTTCAAATTAACTACCTTTCTGTATCCATTTGTTGTCCCTTTTTTGCTATGAGAAAAATATTCAGAGTTTTTCTAATGCATTTGTCAGAATGGATGATAAACTTATGGAATCACTCTTTGGATACACTGCCCAAAACCAGAAAACTCCTGAAGCAAGAAACATGGCTGCAAGTTCTGCATTGAATTCTAGTGCTGCTAAAATATTTCTCCTTGATCCGAGAAAATCACAAAACACCGCGATTGTACTTAAATCTTTGTCGATATCCAGGAAAGATATTCTGGATGCTCTCCAAGAAGGATTTGGACTCAGTACTGATACTCTTGAGAAATTGGCAAAGATTTCGCCAACACCCGAAGAATCTGTGAAAATCCTCCAATTTGATGGAAATCCAACTAAACTTGCTGATGCAGACTCTTTTCTTTACCACATCCTCAAAGCTGTACCAACTGCATTCATGCGTATCAATGCAATGCTGTTCAGGTCAAGTTATGATCCTGATATCCTTCAACTCAAGGAGTCTCTCCAGACACTGGAATTGGCATGTAAAGAACTGAGAAGCCGGGGCGTTTTCTTTAAGCTTTTGGAAGCCATTCTCAAGGCTGGAAACAGAATGAATGCTGGAACTGCAAGGGGAGATGCTCAGGGCTTCAATTTAAGCGCCCTGCGAAAACTTTCTTCCGTGAAGAGTACTGATGGAAAGACTACTCTTCTTCACTTTGTTGTTGAACAAGTAATCCAATCAGAAGGCAAACGTTGCTCCAACCTCCAAAGAAGCAAAAATGGCAGTGGAAGCAACAATCCTGACCAAGATTCGGAAGCTGAAAAAGAATACATCATGCTAGGTCTGCCAGTGGTTGGAGGCCTGAGTACAGAATTTGCAAATGTAAAGAAAGCAGCTGCAATAGACTATGAGAATTTCATCAACATGTGTCCTACTCTAACCATGAGGGCTAATGACATCAGACACATAGTTTCACAATGTGGAAGCAGAAGTGAAAGAAGCGGATTCTCAAAGGAAATGAAGGGTTTCCTGGAAGAATGCGACGAAGAACTCAAGGTTGTAACGGAAGAACAAACAAGAGTGATGCAGCTTGTGAAGAGAACCACACAGTATTATCAAGCTGGAGCTGCAAAGGAGAAAGGAACTGATCCACTTCAGCTGTTTGGCATTGTCAAGGACTTCTTAAGTATGGTTGATCAAGTTTGTATAGACATTTCAAAGAAGCTGCAAAAGAAGAGGGTGACCACTGCTAGTACTAGTGAAGGATCATCGCCGCCATCGTCGCCGTTACCATTGTCTCCAAGAACTCCAGTGAAGTTCCAGAATTTTTTACAGTCTTATTTTCAGACAGGTAAACAAGTGACATCATCATCTAGTGAATCAGAAGATGATTTCTGACAACAGCGACTGGAACATATGTAGAGATTGGACTTTAATTGTACACAGAATCTTCTAAAATAGGAAGGATTATGCTCAGAACATTGTAAATTTGTTCCCTTAGCCTTTTATCCTGTCGGATTGATCAACATTTTGTCAGCCAGATTTCACTAAAAATTGATGCTTGTAACATTATCTTTCTGCATTGGTCAATCCCTGACTTCTTTCATGTTTTTCATAAATTTTCTCTTATTAAAAATAAATAAAAAGCATGTACTACAATCAAGCAAGACGAATCATTTGTCTTGTTCATTTCAAAGAACCTGCTAAAGAAGAGGGTGAAATTCCAAAATTTTTTTACAGCCTTACTTTCAGACAGGGAAACAAGTCTAGAGGATCAGAAGATGATTTCTACTTTATAGTTTATAATCAAATGTTCCATTCTAAAATTATTGTTTCGTTTAGATTTTTATTCGTAATACAATAGTAAAAGTAAAAACCTAAACCGTACCATCATTTTAAACCAAAACAGTAAGTTATTTCATTATTCAAATGATTCACATTTTTTGTGATATTACATACATTTCGATAGATACAACACTTTCTGAAAGGATTTGAAGTTTTGAACTTGTTTTGTGCAAGACGACAGATTTTGAACCAATCATTTGGTTAGATGATTTTTAAATGAAAAACGAAAAAAGAAATACAGTAATGTATAAAACAGAAAAGAGACAACTCTTATCAATTTTTTTAAGTGTTTTTTCCAGTCCCAAAAGTCCAAAACTACTCGTTAAATTTTTTTTTGAAAAAACAAAAGTTCAGTTTTTAGTTTTTGTCCCCAAATTAAATTTCCAAAGAAGTCCAAAACTTGTTTTTCCACCTTTGAAGTTTGAAGCAAGTCTGACCCTGCAACTCAAAAGTCAAAACCTGAAGTTAAGAAATCCTCTGTTTCAGCCTCTTCCACCATTCCACTCAGCCTCAACTAGCTCAATTTGGTCAAGATTTGTAATTTAATTAATCTCTTTTTTGAATTTGGAGATTGGGTTCAAATCAATCATTCTTTCTTCATCTCCAATGCCGCCTGTTGGGTCAGCAGCCAGGTGAGATTTATCCTTCTTCTTCTACCGTTTTCCTGTCTTCTTCAATTTTTAATTTTCTGTCTTCTGTCTTCTGTGACCATAAAGATTGAATCTTTATCAGATGGGTTATGTATTTTCACATTAGTTATTATGCATGTTAGGTGTATGTGTCATTGCTGGTTATGATTTTTTTTTTTTTTTTTTCACTGCTTCCGACCCATTCTAATAATTCACTTTTGTTGGACTAAAATGGGAAGGAGGGAGTGCTAATTAGTTGTAAAATCTGGCATATCACGTGTTGTGGTTAATAGAATGTTTTATGATTTTCAGGATTGTGGCTTCTGTGTGAGTGCCTGATTTGGAAAGTAGGCGACACTATAAATAATGTTTTAGAGCATATCATTAGCAATCCCCTAGCACCATGGCATTTGCATATGCCATATAGAACCATCTCAGGAGTCAGCTGGGCAAATGTTTGGTTCATTGCAGGAAGTTTAGGTTACAGTGGGAAAAAGAGGACATATTGGTTATGGTGTTTTCACTTCAACTGCTGTGCCTCAAATGTTGAAATTACTGTCATTGTCTTCACTGGGTTTCCGGACAACAAGTACTGCTTATTTAATAGTTCCTAAACGTCACTCTCATCCTCCGATTTATAATCTCAGTTCTCTGTTTGGCTTTCATTCGTCTGCGGCGGTGATTGCTAGTTGTGGTAAGAGTTCTAATTTGACACCCAATAACTCCCAGCTTGGATGGTTGAAGAATGATATCAGTAAAATCAACAATGTTGATGATGCTTTGGCTTTCTTCAATCACATGGTCCGGATGAGGCCTCTCCCTGATGTAATTGATTTCAATCAACTTGTTACGCTTGTAATGAAGATGAAGAGTTTTTCAGTTGCCATTCTTATGTACAAAAGTATGTGCGCTGAGGGCATCCCCATTGATGTGTACACCATGAGTATGGTTATTAATTGTTACTGCCGTGAAGGTCGAGTAGATTTGGGATTCTCTGTATTAGGAGCACTCTTCAAGGTTGGACTCATGCCTGGTGTCATTATATTTAACACTATACTCAAGGGACTCTTTAGGGAGCATAGGGTGCGAGAGGCGCAAGAATTGTTTAGTAAAATAATATATGAGAAGTTGTGTGAACCTGATCAGGTTACAATCGGGACAGTGATAGATGGGTTGTCTAAGGTTGGAAACACTAGAAAAGCTATTGAGGTCCTCAGAGCCATGGAAAATGGAGATACTAAACCTAATACCATCATTTACAATGCTATTATTGATGCCCTCTGCAAAGATAAAATGATGGATCAAGCTCTTGGTCTCTTATTTGAGATGATTAAGAAGGGCATTGCACCAAGTGTCGTCACATACAGTTGCTTGATTCAAGGTTTCTGCAATTTAGGCAAATGGCAAGAAGTTAGAAAACTGTGGACCCTGATGATCGGTTTCGGTATTTCTCCAGACATTTGTGCTTATAATATTTTAATAGATTCATTCTCCAAAGCAGGATTGATGAAAGACGCAAATGATATACTTGTGACCATGGTTGAAAGAGGTCTTGCTCCTGGCATAGTTACTTATAGTACGCTGATAGAAGCATACTGTCTGCGCGGCCAAGTATGTGAAGCAAGAAGAATTTTTGATGGCATGCTTGCTCGTGGGATTGTTCCCGACGTTGTTCCTTATAATAGTTTGATGCATGGGTACTTTACGGAAATGAAATTCGAGGAGGCCATGCATCTGTTTCAAGAGATTCCACTCAAGGGCTTAACTCCTGGTATTCATACATACACTATCCTCTTGAAGGGATTGTTTCGCTGTGGGATGTGTGATGATGCAGAAGAAGTTTTTAGGGGCATGCAACTTGGCGGCCTAAAACCTACTTTTCACACTTACTGTGTGATGCTTGATGGGTTTTGCAAGAATAGGAATTTGGATAAAGCTTTGACGTTATTGCATGATATGGAAATGGATGGGGTGGAGTTGCATATAGAAATGTACACTATTATCATCAATGGCTTGTCTCATAGTGGGAAATTCGATAGAGCAAGGGATATTTTTAATAGCTTTTCGCGTAAAGGATTGGATCCTGATGTTGTAACATATAACATATTTATAGCTAATCTCTGCCGACAAGGTTTACTAGAGCCAGCTAAAGAGCTTTTCTTCCAAATGGAAGAAAACGGCTGCCCAGCAAATGAACGTACTTACAATAACATTGTCCAAGGATTTTTCGAGGCAGGTAAATATGATGATGCAGCAATTTATATTGAAGAAATGAGAAGGAAAGGATTTTCTTTGAGTTTATCAAACTCCTCAACCGTACTAGAGCTAATCTTGAGGAAGGAAAGCATTGTGTCTGATAAGATTCTTCGGAAGCTTGAACCCAGTGTCAGAAGTGGGAAGCTACCAAAGTTAGACTAAACTGGGATATGCAAACTCATTGAAGTTCTTTTTTGTGTCTCTGATGCATATTGTCCCAAAGCCTCCAGTTTGGCGAGGAAAATTCTTGAGGAACAGCTAAAAATGGGATGAAATGTCTTTGAAGTTACTGTCGTCGATCGATGGAAGTTCTCAAGGGAATATTGATACAGCTGAATCAAAATCAGTATGCTAGACCGATCTTAATTTGCTGCATTTTTGCTGATGTTTTATATTATTGGAAACTATCAAGATTTGTACAGAACTAAATTAAATCGAATTGTTGTTGAACAAGCATTTTGTCCAGATTCTGAATGTATATATGATCATTGATCTGAAACAAAAACAAATTTGAGGGTGTTCAAATCTTTAATTAAACCCTAAACCCTTTTACATACTCAAATCAAGCTGCTTGTTGTATGAGTGTGAGAAGGCAAAGACAGCTAAAATGTTGGCAGGAGTTTCCTCTGTTTAACTTCCATCACTTCCGAATTGAATAGATACAGTTATTTGGAGCATGTTGTGAGAAATTGTCCCACATCGGTGTTTTACATGACAGGAGCTCAATATATAACTGTCGGAATTAGCAGATTTGGGCACGACCTTACTTGAACAGGATCTGTTCTATAGGATTGTACCTCTGTATCCTTGAGTTCTAAGGAGACAGGAAATCAAGTCTGGTAGATGAATTCATTCCCACTTGACCAGAGCGTGATTATCAGTTCTCCGCGCCCTTCTGGGCTGGAGCCGCCGTAGAGGATCGTTCTCAGCCCGTGCTCCGGCCGGACTGGGGTGGTCTTGTGGTGTTCTGACAGACCCTTAACCCCCCTTTTTTGCTCCGGCGAGCTGGATTCAGTTCTTAGCCAGCTGCAGTTTTCATTCAGTTCATATCAGGTAATGTAAAAAAATCATGTTTTTTACTTTTAGTGGAAAAAGGGCTTATTCAGAAGGGGAGTCTTGGAGAATGTTTGTTCTGCTCCTTGTGTAAATTGCTAATCTCTTAGGGCACTTTATTAATTCATTTTCTGGATTGGTTTTTATTCTTCTAATTATCAAGCTGTATGACTGACTGTTTGATAAACCCTGAATAACTTACTGACTGATTAGACCCTGAATAAGTATCATTGCTTAAAGCTCTAACACATTTTACTCTAATTAATTTCGGAAGATGTATGTTTACTGTCAAACAAATGGCTGCTGCAAAAATCCATGGCTTTGTGATTGTTGTATATAGTCAGTTGTCTATAAGTATTGTAGAACTGGAAGGGAACATTGTTACAATTGTTTGTCCGATTTCACTGTAGCATTTGTTTTTGAGGTTATATGTGCTTGCATTTGGGCAGGCCATGTACGATCGAGCTGCTGCCTAAATTTTGCCTTTGATTCCTGATGCTGGTAGTTCTTCCTATTGTCCGAGGCAAATGATTGTCTTCAATGTTTGATTGAATATGCCGTTGTGACTAAAGACAGTCACATTTCAGTTGTGGTCGAACACGAATGGCCCAACTTCAACTAGGCATCGCTGATTCAGAGGCATCGTTGGTATTTCTTTCTTTGACATGAAGATTTGCCTACTTATATTGCCATTAATGCTGGTTACATGCAAACAGGCGCTTGATTAGGTGATTATGCGGATTATGGATTTATTTCCTAATAAGCTTTCTTTTGCTTGCTCGGTTTAAGCTTGTTGCAATGTTTCAGATATAGAGAAGGTTCATTAGCAGGTATTTGAAGTCGGCTTGGAGAGTGATATGCTCATAGGAAGTTCATTGATAGATGTCTTATTTGAAAGAGGAATTCTGTAGAGGGTCGTCAGTTACAGTTTGATGAATAGCCTGACAGATTTTGATGTTGTAGTTTGGAATTCCATGATGAATGGGTTTGCCCGAGTTGGGAAGGTTGATACAGACAATTTATGTTTCGGGAGAATGGTTGAAAATGGTGGTGATATCAACAGATAGAGCATTGGCAGAATTTTATCTGTTCTTGCAACAATTGAAGACATCTTAAATGGCGATAAGTGGTGTTGTGAACTTGTGATCAAAATCGGATATGAATGAGGGACTTTTGTACAAAATGCATTAGTTGATGGGTATGGTATTTACAAGTGACTCGGGGATGCAGCTGAGATGTTCGAGGTCGTTCTGGCGAGTTGGTAATGGCCTTAGTTGCTTTTCCAGGTCGATTGAGACCTCAGTTGATTACATCTTGGCAGCTTGAAACTGTCACGGGTGGTTTGTATCCATTATGATTAGGGCTTAAGTTTCAATTGTGGTTCATGGAGGGATATTGCATTTGTCTATTTCATAATTCATCAAGGTAAGCTTAAGCTAGTTTGATATTTTGATGAATTCCGTAAAAGCCGCCTTCTTTCTGATCTCTTAAACTAGGCATGTTTGAATCCATTGTTCTGCATTCTGATCCTGTTTACTTTTCTGCTTCAAACATTGGACTCATCCAGTGACATCATTTGACCGATGAGAGCATTTTGTTTTGAATTCCACCTTTTCCAAGAAACTCAAAGGATTATGGATTCAGAAATGATGGGCTACATAGTACATTCAATTCAGAGGTCCCTCACTTCATCATCTGGCAGGCAGCAGCCCCTCCCTATAGTTTTTTTTGTTTTGGGTATCATATTCAAAATTGAATTGTTTCTCTATCAACTGTAACTGCATAAGATACTGGAATGTATTACTTATAAGATACTGTATATATTACTTACTGTTTTGAATTTGATAAGTGGTAGATTTTAATCCATAACAGATGTTTTTATAGTGTGCGAAGAAATGATATGGAGAAACATGTACTATTTGAAATGAAATGAGGGAGTAAAAATCATGTATAAACATGACTAACTAATTTATATTCGAGTCGGATAAGTCTGTTTCATAAGATAAATCAATAAGTACGATAATATGTTATTTTATGGAAAATGTTTATATAACATTTCTCAATCTGGAAGAAAGATGCGGCCATGAGGAGAGATTAATGCAATGAAAATGATTGTTTACCAGTCTGGATGAATCAATTTTTTGCCAATTTTTCTGACATGAATATCACCAACTATCAAGTAGGAGTAAAAAGAAAAACACGTTGACTTAAGAAAATGGTGTTTTTTATGGTTGACTGAGCAAAAAAGCAATTTGAGAATTTATAGCCCCCAGAATGTATAATATAATCCATCTTTGTATTCTGAGGCCTCCAGAGCTAAAAACCCTAATCCCTCTCCGCCGCTTCTTGGTAGTTCCGGCCACCCCTTCCAACTTTTCTGCACTTAAATGGAGTGACACTCCGGTGAGTTCTAATCCTTTATTTCTAGCTTGATTTCATGTGTTTTTTCGTTGATTTGTGATTCTTCAGGAAGTCTGGTAGCATAGATTGAAATCCTTGAAGATTCGCAATTTGTTGGACTATCGGGTAGATCAATTAATGCTGAATAATTTTTCAATTCTCGAATTTCTACGAATATGTATTATTAGCTTGTATATTTGCACCTAAAAAATGAGCATTTTCATTTGCTTCTACCGGTGTGCATTTGTGTGTTCTTTTGCAATATTGGATTTCTTTGTTAATACTAACAGAGCATAGCCATCCTGGATATGCATTTGTTTGAGTCAAGAATTCCTTTCATTCTCACGTGTTTTAGCATCTGGAAGTTGCTAAACTGGATCTATCGTGTGGTTTCTTGTGAAGGATGGACTGACAGAGCTATATGAAGGACTTGGGTATACAAGCAAGTAACCAAACAACTTTGCAATGAAAACGATCCATGATTTTTGGACCATTAAGGTGGATGTGTCGAAGATTTTTCATGGCAAGAGCCGAGAAACTGGAGTGAAGCAGTGTACCAAGAATCAGAGGCATGTGCTATCACAAATAACTCCCTTAGTAACAAAGGAAGTTGCAAGCTTCAGTTGTGAGGCAAGATTGAATAAGGATCCGCGGTCATTGGTATTATGCATTTTCCTGGATTTGGTAAGACAACTTTATCT